ATATATATATATATATATATATATATATATATATATATATATATATATATATATATATATATATATATATGTATATATATATATTTTAAATCACTAATAAAAATAAAATGAAGAAACATTACAAATACATAAATGTAAAATAATAAAAATTTAATAATTCAAAATCATATTTTTGTAATAAAAGAATAAAATAAATTGAAGAATAAAAACACTTTAGTAAAAAAAAATTAAACTAAAATTAAACATAAATAAAACTAGAATAATAATAATAATAAAAATCAACAATAATATAAAATAATTAAAAATAAAAAATTCAAACCCCACCAGAAAAGGATGCCTCAAAAGCCTTTAGGTGTCATTTTGTCATTTTAAGACGTTTATTAATGTCTTTGAAATCATTTTTGAGTTCCTCTGGACATTTTTTCTCTGAACACCAAGAATTTTTTTTGTCCTCTGTCATCCAGGGTTCAGACCGTCCTGACACAGAGAGACAGAGAGACAGAGAGAAAGAGAGAGAGAGAGAGAGAGAGAGAATGAGACAGAAAAAGAGAGAGTAATCATATTTGAAAATGATTACCGCAGCAGAGAGATTGTAATCAGAGTCTCGGTGTCTGAGCGTGTTTTGGAAAAATGGAAGGCGCCCTCCATAACTACGTTAATGAAAACGCTGACATGGCAGTCAGAGACAGAGAGAGAGAGAGAGAGAGAGAGAGAGAGAGTGAGAGAGCGAGAGCTTGTTTTTCCCATGGTGGCGGCTGTGAGGCCATGCTGCAACTCCTGTGACCTTCACGCCGCCGGGAAGACGGGTTCTGGTGACGGATTGTTTATCGGAGCGGAGAGAAATAAAACAATCCGACAGACGTGTGTGAGAAAAGGTGAGGGGGAAAAAAAACCCCTTCACAACCATCAAGAGAGTGTTAAAACATAAACAAAATAATAATAACAATAATAATAATAATAATAAACAGTAGTGTTTTGGCCGGCGCAGGTCGTTTCCTGCCAGTTGTTTGGAGCTTGGAGTGTTTTTTTGTTGTTTTTTTTTTTTCCTGCCAGACATCGCCCCGTCGTCCCCCGGCTCTGATAGGATATCAATCGGAACGTGCGAGCCGGTCGATCTCTACGAGACAGAGCCAACGGTCAGCCAAGGTCTGAGCACGCAGCTTTTGCACGGCTGGATCTGAAAATAGAATATGAAATCCACTTCGGGGCATATTGAAAATTTTGCAGACGAAACAGTCTCTCTGTCTGTCTCTGTCTGTCTCTGATCGTCCATGTTTTTGATGTAGGCAGGTTGAAAGGAATTTTTTTTCTGCCACAGATTCCACATGCATTACTCAGGCCTCGGTTTAATATTCCTCAGCACTTGGAGTACTTTTTTTTTTTTTTCAGTTTTCAGGGAAGCGTAGAAAACCATGTGTGCCCTGCGGAAATATCTGACGGCGCGTAACAAGTTGGCGGTTTTCATATTTTTCTTTTTTTTTTGTAAAAAGGCATTTGTTTGCAGTCGCTTGTGTTTTGTTAAGCGATGGCACTTGGACGAGAAAGAAAAAAGCCGTCCAATGCGTTCTCGTAGTCTTGGATGTGGGATTTACTGCGAACGAGAATTCCATTGTTTTAGTTTTTAATTTCACATCCAGTTTGCAGTTTAAAACCCACACAAGCCTCGTATACGCATCGTGTGCTCCGATGTACGCTTCGTTACCTCTCGTACTCTGGCCTGATCACAAAGAAACAGTTCTTGTGTTCTGTCCTTAATAAACGGCAAGGTCGAGCACTTCCATCGAATAGCGGTGGAATAAAGCGTACTTCAATTAAACGTCGGCTTGTTATATTCTGTGGAATAAAACGAGTCCACGTTGCTTTGGTATGCGAGGACCATTATTTCATATGCATGCCGAACATTAAGGATTAAAAAGGTCAGCAATTTCGATTCATCATAATCATTCAAAGTAACAACCCTTTTTAAACTTTATATCTGCTTCATTCGGATCAGCTGTACGTCATTAAAAAAAAAAAAAAAAAAAACGCTGATAGAAGTTCAGACGTACAGAAGAAACTCATTTAAACCAGAAAGGAAAAACTTTGACGGCCTCCTATTGTACAGGTGTGATGGAGAGCAAAGAGGAGACGTTTTTAAGAAGATTAACGTAATTCTGGCTGCCAAACTGACTGCAGGGACAGAGAGAGAGAAAGAGAGAGAGAGAGATAAGGAGAGAAAAGAGGATAGATTTAAAGTTTCTGTCTTGCAGACAGCTTTGCGAAGTTTTTCAGACATGATTCAAGTTTAAGGATTAATCCCAGGTGCTCATCCGTCTGCATGCTAATATTAGTCGGGGACTTGACGCTTGACGGCACAGTTTGAAATTTCTGTCAAAGTTCTTTTCAAGCCAGACACATTGTTTTTTTAAATTTTTTTTTTTATAAGGACTCCCTCGGAGCAGAAATTTAATTTGCATTTTTTATTCTGACACTAAAGAGTCAGACAAAGTCTCTACAATCAACCCTGAGGCATATAATTTTCTCTTCTGTGAATATTTACAGGCGGTGAATGATGCACATATGAAAACTAAAAAAGAAGTATTTGATTTACTCGGAAGATAAAACACAAATTGCACTGTTTTTTTTTTTTTTTTTTCGAGAACACAGATTGGACGCTGCGTGTTAGTGTTCCTGCACATGCATGCACGCTCACATTTTCCACATAAAACTCCTGATGGACAACACAAAACAGAAAAAGGACGCATCCTGTAGGCTTTTAGCTTGAAAGCCTGATGTGACGCTGATCCACTTCTCTGTGAAGTAGCGAGTGACGATAAATCACTGCATGGAGAGCGCGGTAACCTTCAACTTTATGAGCTAATATGTGGTAATGAAGAGAAATGGCATGCAGCGCTGTGTACCCAAGGAAGCTGGACAGATAAAGCCCATAATGCAGATGACTCATCGGCAAGAGAGGAAATCCTGAGAGAGTAAGAGCTCTGGAAGCCTAGAGGGGAAGGGTTCCCTCCATCTGAGTCATCAGAGGGATCAAGATGACCCAGATTATCAGAACATGGCAAGAATCAGTAAACGTAAACGGACAGAGGAAGTGCATCAAGGCCTTCTAGTGAGTCTGTTATCAGTGAGAAAATGAAAGGCTTTGTTAGATTCATGTCTAAACTCATAGTGTAATTAGGACAAAGTCTTTAAACTCGCCATTTTGGGTTCAAGGTAAATCCCCAAAGTGGTAAATTCCTCAAAGTTGGGGTCTGGAGACTCCCAGGAATACGTGAAGCATAGCCTGGAGGTGGAAATCACCACCTGTAAATAAAATTAGCCTGTCTGACTGGTCACTCGAGAAGTTTTTGAGTTCCAAACCTCAAAAACAAGTCGGTCTATAAATAATGTCGAATAAAACCTATGATGCTCTGTCAGTAGAAAGTTCAGGAATAATTAAAAAGCTCTACACCTCGAGTAAATAGATTAAATAGTATTGTACACATCTAAATCTCCTATAACAGCACCAGACTAAATGTTTTATTCCTTACCTAAGAGAAACATGATGTGTATAAGATTATTGTATACGCATAAATAGAAGAGTGTTCTATCGTTCTTGCTCCATCAGCAGGAAGTCAGCAAATCGCTGGTCAGTGTTTTGGTGTTGTGCATTGGCTAAGACGTGATTTGACCCTGGCTAGCATCTTTATTTTCTCTCCATATCTTTAACTGTTTATATGACAGCTTTGGGTTGGACTACAATACTATCTGTCATTCAGTGCACTCTAATTAATCCGACTGCTACATCTGACCGATGTTGTGTGGGATTTGGAAGTATCGTTACACAAGCATACAGATCAAACGAACTTTGATCGAATGATCAAATCAACTTTTTTCTTTCACAAAAGTCAATAAGAAGCATAGTAGACTTTTTTTAAGACTTCCTCAGAGACACATGAAGCCAACTGTATCTTTTTGAATGCTGCTCATGCTGCGTAACACTCTGAGGAAATCGCTATCCGCCCCCTTCCACATACATGAGCTCACCGATGATCATGATTGGCTACTGTCTCTGATTGTGACTGACAGGGGAGAGAGAGTAATCCCCTCCCACTCAGAAAGCACAACCAGTTTTTGCACTCTACACTCGCAGCTATGGATGGCTGTGGATTTTGGGATGCGAACTTGTGAGCTCCGGACAATAAAGCAGTGGTAGCTCAGTGGTTAAGATGTTGGACTAACAATCGGAAGGTCATGGGTGCAAATCCCAACATCGCCAAACTGCCACTGCTGGGCCCTTGAGCAAGGCCCTTAACCCTCAACTGCTCAGTTGTAAAAAGTGTAAGTCGCTCTGGACAAGGGTGTTTCCATAAATGTAAATAAACACTTTTCTGTTGCGCCACTTTAGAGAGAAATTAATATACTGACAGTCCAGACAATAAATCTGCTTGTCCTGGGCTACTGATTTGTCCACGAGGTGAGAGAGAAAGAAAGAAAACAAATAAAACTCATGTGGCGGTACGAAGCACCAGCAAGAATTCAACCAACTGAAGCTCTTCAGCTGTCATAAAAAAATTTTTAATCTTGCTTTTAACAACATTTCATGACAAAACATCAAACATCACAGATTCTAATCATTTCTCCTACTTCAGTCTTTATTGTTCATGTTGCTCAGTGGAAATTATGCATAAATTATACATATATATACAATTAACAATTTGTGACCGACATCACGGCCTCCATGATCTAAATTTCTAGATGTATTTAGATTTGCTCCAGTACAAAGACAGGCACATGGCCTTCAAAAAACTAAAACAAAACAAACCCAAAATAAAATGAACCAAAAAAAAAAAAAAACCCAACATAAAACGAGAATAATCCGTAACAAATGTACAAATTGTGTGAATTATAAAAAGGCAGCTAAACAGCCAGGCGGCTATTAAAGTGTTTTCAAGCGGTATAAACGCTGGACGTAGGCTACAAAGACTGGATGTCCCCGGTTTCATTAGGGCTTAAGCGGGATTTCTTTTGGTTTTGGAGAGACACCATCATTAATGGCACGGGAACAGTTTGGATTGGAAAGCGACTGGATTGGCACTCAAGTTTGAAGTTGGGAAGGGAGACGGAGCTTTAAAAAAAAAAGGATTAGATGAAGGACACTCCATCTAAACAAGAGGCACTACTGACGGTTAGAGATTAGGATAGAAGCGCTTTACATTCAGAGGCAACAGTAAGAAAATTTACTGAAATCTAACAAGACGTAGAAAAGCGACGGCGAATTCGTTGACATATCGTGACCTCTGTATTATTAAGGTTCTATCTGGAAGCTTGGTCGAGAAATTTCATCACTTTATTGTCTTGTAGTGCTATATTTTTTTTTTTTGCAAAGTTTTGGTGTAATATTTGAAAAAAATAATAGGTCTGAATTTCCAAAGTCACAGATTTTATAAGGTGCTATCTGCCAGCCAATCATCATCCAGGATCAACGCAACACAGGCAGCCTTGAACAATCTAAATCCACGTTCAAAAGTAACTTTTATCTGTAGATGTAGAGTAATTAAAAAAGTTACTGTACAATACTGTAATCGCTGATTTTACAAAATCGTTCGTAAAGGTCTTCATCGCAGCAGAAAGCTAATATTGTGGCGAATATCAAGTGTCTAGTGACACTTCTTCTGATTATATTATATTGTATTATATTATATTATCAGACCTGCCAACATTCATGCATTTAGTGTAGGAGTGCCACAACTTAACATCCGAGTACGCTCGTACGAATTATCACTCAAAAACTACGTCTTTTTCTCCGCAATAAAATGGAAGCTAGTCGACATACGAATCTATAATGATTGACAGTTGCGTAGATCTTCTGAACTCTCCAATATCAACTGGCATTGCATGGAAGCCACGCCCCCTTCTCCCTATGTCACATACTCACAGGTAAATAGAGAGATTTTTAAAGTGAACTAAAATCTATCAATGTATGTAAGACTTCGCTAATATTAGAAAAGTATATAGTTAACATCAGGTAGCTATACCTAGCTATATTTTTAGATTTTGGCTGAAAATGGTCAAAATGATCAGCACTTTCAACTGAAAGAGAAAAAAATTGCTGAAAATTTTGACCTAAAAAGATTAAACAGGCCTACAATGAAGTGTCAAATCTAATATTTTACAAATAAAGTTAATGGTGATGATGATTAAAAAGTGATTAAATACGCTCAGACACGTTCAAACACTTTGCGCGCGATCAACAGGGAAAATGTCGGCCGTGGGGATATTAGACAACCGATTTGTAAAAGGATTATTTTGAAAAAGTGCTGTTATGTTTAAGTAATATTATTACGCCTGCCGCTACTCTCCTTAATCCTGAAATCGGTTCTGGATGACTAAAAATCGTGAGCATGGAAAAGTCAATATCACACAAAGCCTACCTCGGAATTTTGAAATGTAGTCCTTGTTGAGCTGTAAATGTAAATTTCAGATGTCAGTAACTGGAATGTCAAAACTTTCATCTCAAAACCCAAATAGAACCTTACAATACTACGATCACGATACGTAACTAGCACTACACCGCTCTGGTGATAAATTACCGTGATTAGTCACTAGGACAGAGAGAGACGCTAGATCTCCGACGGACAAAACACTTCCGTTTGATATGCTGTGGTTATAAAAAAGTACAACAACAGAATAACAGCATTGAAACCGATCACTAAACCTCAAACAATCCTCCTGAATGATGCATGATTTCTACAATTACACAAGAGAGACATGCAGAGGAATTCCAATATTCTGGAATCTTGGAATCTTTGTTTGTGGTTTTGGGAATAAAGTGGTAATTTCACAGCCGTGATTATTTAAGACTGTTGTATAGTTTAATAAGTCACTGTAGTTTGGTTAAAAAAAAACACATCATCACATACTTTAAGGCTTTTAAAGTACAAATGTTCAATCTTGCACGCACACACACACACACACACACACATATACATTCACACACTAAATAGAACAATATACATATTAAGAAAAACTATCCAGTTTCTCTACATACCAAGAAAAGTGTTTATCAGTTATGTAGCAATGTGCAACTAGGTGTGTATTACACAGGACGTATAACATAGAACCGTGTTTACTGACGGCGTGACTCGACAGTCGGTTAACTTGTGGTACTAATACGAAGAACCTAATAACATATCATACCTCAAATATGATATGATACGATATAAACCCCACTTGTATGAATCCGTATGCCTTTCAGCCTGCTGTGTTGGAGTGAGAGTAACACACACACTCACACACACACACACACACACACACACGCACGCACGCACACACGCACGCACACACGCTCTCGTGTTGAGGTGGAGATCTGTACTGTCCGAACTGGAGGATGCTGGGATTTGGAGAAAACTCCCAGCTCATATCCTGCCTGTCTCCTGGTCCTTTTCCTCCAGCAGGTGGATGAGTTGGCTGAAGCTCTCCTTCACGGCGTCCATGTTGTCCACCGTGCTTCCCTCGAGCAACCAGCTCTTCCCCCGAGCCAAAGGCTCCAGCTCAAAGTATTTCTTTATCTGTTTGAAGAGACAGAGGAGGTAGTTAGAGAAAAGTGGCTGCAGAGGAATCCTCACTGTTTTTTTTTTTTTAATAAAATAATTTCAGTTGCCAGGAAAAGCATCACAGAAGAGCTAACTCTAATTTACTTTAAGTCTATCTTTTAGAATACTTTTGTTCAAATTGGGTGGTCTGCTACCAAAGGTGCCATGCTTTTGTTTATATCAGGTAAATATCAGAAAACCCTTCAGACCCTTCAGCGGATAGTGAGGACAGCTGACAAGATCATCAGGGTCTCTCTTCCCTCCATCACGGACATTTGCACCTCACGCTGCATCCGCAAAGCCACCAGCATTGTGGATGACCCCACACACCCCTCTCACACACTCTTTACCCTCCTGCCGTCTGGTAAACGGTACCGAAGCATTCGGGCCCTCACGACCAGACTGTGCAATAGTTTCTTCCCCCATGCCATCAGACTCCTCAATTCTCAGAAACTGGACTGAAGGAACACACACACACACACACACACATACATAGATACACACACAACTGAGCATTCTCCATCCTCTTTGCAATTTTTTTGCAAGTTTTTGCACATTACATTATGCTGCTACAATACTTATTATACGGTACATAGGCTGCTACTCTTATGTTTACACTATTTCAGCTACTTGTATAGTACTCTTGTACTCTTTGCACTATTGTCACTAGATTCACTTTTAAACAGAACTGTGTACTGGTCGGCGCTGCACTGGGACTTACTGCGGCCATTGTCTGTCCCAGTAGTCATTGTACTGTCTTGTACTGTCTTGTGCTGTCTGCACATGTTTGCACTTGTGCACTTTATGTATAAATTACGTAGTCCCTTGTAGTTCTGTGTTGTTCCTTGGTCCTGGAGAAACGTTGTTTCGTTTCACTATGTACTTGTATATGGTTGAAATGACAATAAACTCCACTTGACTTGACTTGAAAACAAAAGCAGAAATTCTGATCTACTGCCTCATGTTCTTCATTTGATCTCAAACCCAAATGTCTTCAGTGTATAGCACAAACAAAAGAACTGGCCATGCTGTTCCAATAATTACAAAGAAGAAAAAAAACTATTTCAGACATGTGACCTTGACCCTGTTTGGATCAACTACAAGATCTAATCAGTTCATCTGCTGGTTACGGTGATAATTCCATACAAATCCTACAAACATTCAACCACTCATTTTTGAGATGAGAATCTCAGACAGACACACGGACGGCTCGTAAAACATAGATGGCCAGAAAATGGGCCCTGAGTTCCTGAAAATGAACACGACAGTAACATCTCTATATGACAAACAGAAGGAAAGCTATTAAAGAAAATCTTGTTTTAAAAAAAACTGATGAAGAAAACAGAATGTATAAGGACAAGGGACAGAGAAGTTCTGTGTTCAGAGGCAATACTGGTAATAACATGACGCTTCAGTCAGAAGCTAAGCAAAACCACATCAAACTCATTGTAAACAAGGAATTTTATGTATCTGGATCTTTTCAAATGTTAGCTGAACTCCCATGTTATAAAGAATATAGGATGCAAAAACAGGATTCAATCAATTTGAGTTCAAACTCAATTGAAGTTTTATGTAAGGCCATGTTTGTTTAACATTTATGGAAGGAGTCTCCAGTGTCAGCGCTTTGTAACAGTCAGAGTTAACACTACGTCTTTTCCGACATCTTCAGTACAGAGAAGTTTAC